TCTCCCTTCACCGCCACCTCCCACCACTGTGCTCAGCTGAATGAGCCTGGGGGAGGGGGGGGTCTTTGCTATAAGGCCACTGCCGGGCCAGTGCTTGGAACTCTGTCTCTACTGGGGAGGAAGGGTGACCGGCTTCGCTCCTGCTGGGGCTGTTGGTTGTACAACTTACCTGGAATTGTGCACTCTTAGCTTTGGCTTAAAGAAATCTGTGATGCCAGAGGGCTAAATACATCATGCTGTTGCCTTATTGGTCTTCCACAGAAGCAAGTGCAGGACCATACGATGGTGTGTCGTGTTCTAACCTATTTCAGAATTTTACAGTTGACTGAGTCTCCCAAGAAGAAATCCTGAGGCTGCTCTATAGAAATTTTCTATCAAGGAATGAAATCAGTGAGTGTGCTTTGCTGGGGTGATTGGTAGGGTCTCTGGACAAGAGCGTTCCTTCAGAGTCTTGTTGGGGAGGTGAGCAGGGCTTGGGGTGTGTACTGGCGCGAGGCTGTTTAATCTCAGGCTCTGCCTCTGAATTTCCTAGAGACAGGATAAAACCACGATTCCTGGCCTTTGAAAACCATTGACATAGTGAACTTCCTGCTGCCTCTCTTTCATGCACACCTAGTTTTGAACGCTGGTGTTTCCTGAGTCTAAGCCTAGGTAGCCGTTCGGAGCTGACCTCTCTGCATGCGTGCTCTGAATTCTAGAGGTGAAACACTTTAATTTATTAAGGAATATTGTAGCTTTAGGTTCTGTGGGGGAGGGAAAAGGATTAAACTAGGGAAAGCTTGATTCTGTAGGAAACAAAAAAATATAGTAGGCCCGGCGCGGTGGCTCACACCTGTAATTCCAGCACTTTGGGAGGCCGAGGCGGGCGGATCACGAGGTCAGATCGAGACCATCCTGGCTAACACAGTGAAAACCTGTCTCTACTAAAAATACACACACAAAAAAAGCCAGGCATGGTGGCGGGTGCCTGTAGTCCCAGCTACTCGGAAGGCTGAGGCAGGAGAATGGGGTGAACCCAGGAGGTGGAGCTTGCAGTGAGCTGAGGTTGTGCCACTGCACTCCAGCCTGGGTGATAGAGCGAAACTCCATCCCCCCGCCCCCCCCCAAAAAAAATTAGTATTTACTCAGAAGCAGCAAAGCCCATAAATCTCTAAATGCAGTAACTATGTCTGCAGGAAGCTGGTGATAACATTATCTGGAAGACACTTTTAAAGTCTGTTATCTCCAGTAGCTTATTTTCTTCTGGTAGTGGGAATGTTCACCATTTGGAGTTAGTTGAGTGAAGAATTCAGGAAATCAGATTGGAAAAAAGCATCATCTGGTTGAGAAGACACATGGGCCCATCCAACAAGCATTCTGAAAGAAAAAGCCTACTGCTGCCACACAGCAGTATAATTTCCCTTTGTCTGTAACTTAAAAAAAAACAATACATCTGAGATGTCCGAGAAAGCCGCCCGTAGGTGAACTAGTTTACTCCATTTATGATGGATTCAGTGAATGCCTAAAAATTCTGGCCAAAACCACCTCTACATATGGAACAATCTCCTACCTGGTTAGAAGACTGTGGTTATTTTGGCACAGCTCAAAACAATTTCGAATAAGTTACAATGACTTCAGAGCCTGTGGCATGTTCTTAGATGTGATCAAATGACTCAGTATAAAAATTCTATCGGCCGATGGATCCGATGCAGCCAACAAGGAGCGCTAAGGTTCATCTTGTGAGTCAGAGTTCACAAGACAGACAGTGTTACTTTGGCCAGAAAACTGAGATAAGGTTAAAGGTTTTATGCTCTGTTTTTCCTATGTGAGTCATAAAACTGGCTTGGAAGGCAAATTCCAAAAGGGTGTTTTAGGAAACATTTGGGCTTTGGCTGTAGTAAGATAAATATTCAGCCTTCTAAGAAGACTTCAAAAGAGAAAACTCATCTGAATTTCTACGTTGTAGTACGTTTGGGCAAAATGAGTCTTCCTAATTTAGTAATATCTTCCTTGCTAGGGAAAGACAGCTTAGAACTGTGGTTGGTGGTTACTTTTCACATGTTCCATGGGAATCGTGACTTTGCAAATTAAAGAATGAGTCATTTCCTAGCAACTTAGCTGACGCATGCACTAGACAGGCAGCTTTGGGGGCGGCACTCAAAGTCCTCCCTTTTAATTTTTTAATTGTTTTCTTTGCCATATGCATCTATGCAACACAAAATAATGAAATTATTTTTAGAGAACGTTTTACTTTTCAAAATGTTGTGGTTTGCAGAGCAGTTTTCTTATTACTCTAGAGGCTAGGGGATTTGTTACCATGTTTGATTAAATCCGTATTTAAATTCTGCAAACTCATGCAGGGAAAGGCAATTGTTTGGTTCCCACTATGGCATATTAAGTAGTAAAGTGCCGGGTGGCGGTCGACTTGGAAGCAGCGTCTGGGATAGCACGTGCTCCAGGAATACTCCGAAAGCTGATGCCGTGAGGGGTGCACGGTTGACTCCTGGGCCTGAGATGGCCTCAGGATGCTGCAGCAGCCTTGGTGGCACCCTTTTAGCAGGGCAGCGGCCGGGACTGGCGCCTTCCCCTCAGTCTCTTTATTTACCAGAAAACTGCATGCACAGAAATGACCGCAGCAGCTCTGGGTGTGGGAATTTAGAGCCGTCCGTTTTCAGTTTTGCCAGAGCCCCAGGGTTATGGCCACGCTACATCCCGGTCCACCCAGGGAGGTCCTGGTTTCTGCTGTGGTTCAGGCCTCCTCGTGGGTCATCTTTTCTCTCCTGAGATGTGGGCTTGGAGGATGGGACGTCGTCCCCCTAAGAAGGGTCCGTTTCAGCATGGTGGTGCAGGCTCTGACTCTTCGGCCCAGGTCACATGCCTGCTTCCTTGTTTCCTTGCCCCACAAGCTTCATGGAAGTGAATCTGGAAAGTCAAGATCACCACAGATGCAGTTTGTTCAGCGTTGCTCCCAGACCTGAAGAACGGGGTGCTCTGTTGTGCGCGCAGCATGAAGCATAATTCTTAGCAGAAACCTGGGAGTTTGGGGTGGTAGAGATCACTAAAAATGCAACCCCAAGGCTACGTAATCTCTTTATTTATGTATCCACCCACCCACCCTCCTACCTATTGTACTTCAAATATTCTAAGGAATATGGCCTCCAGGAGTCACTCGCGGCTTTGCATGCGGCCGTCTGTGCCTGGTGCGTCTTTGTGTGGACTACAGCACCCGCAGCAGGACAGAACAGAAACGGTGCCTCTCAGGGTGCCCTGTGCAGAGGGGAGGCCTGCGTCCGACCTCACACTTGCTCACCCTCACCCTCCAGGGGGACAGCTACACTGGGCTCATCTGCACTGCAAGGGAAATCTGTTTTCAGAGCAAGGGGAGACAATAATAATAATAATCCCTCGAGTGAGACTGGGCTATGTTTAGAAGATGTTTCACTGCTTTGCCATGGAGGTAGGGGCCTGGTGATGAGCAGTGCCTATACCAGCCTGTGAGCCAGTGGCTGGGTGCCTGGGGGTGTCTCAGGAGGTGCAGGCGGGGCTGCCATCGCTGAAATGAACCAGCTCTGCTTTGGGTTCTGTTCCATTCCAGACTGTTTTCTCCTTTCTTGTTTATTACATGTATGACACTAAATTATAAACACACACGTGGCCAGGCGTGGTGGCTCACACCTGTAATCCCAGCACTTCAGGAGGCCCAGGCAGGCAGATCACTTGAGGTCAGGAGTTGGAAACCAGCCTGGCCAACATGGTGAAACCCTGTCTCTACTGGGGGGGGAAAAAAAAAAAGCCAGATGTGGTAGTGTGTGCCTATAATCCCAGCTACCCCGGAGGCTGAGGTAGGAGAATCACTTGAACCCGGGAGATGTAGGTTGCAGTGAGCCAAGATTGCACCACTGCACTGCAGCCTGGGCGACAGAGCAAGACTCTGTCTCAAAATAAAATAAACATATATGTATATATAATGTTTCTGATGGAAATTTACATTTATAAATATAAGTATACAAATTGGCCAGCTATCAAGGTGCCTGCACCATTGATTAATTTATATACAGAACTCCGTAATCTATGAATCATTTCCTTTTTAAAAACCTTTCTTCCTTTTTTCTGTCCTCCTGACCCTCACTAAGGAGGGCTTATGAATCCAACAATAATCTATTGTGAACTTTTCTAAATCCCTAATAGTTATTCCTTCTTAAGGTTAAATCCTGTGGAAAGGGAGTTACATAGATGAAGGTACCAATGGGCATTGCTGCATTTCCTAATCTTGTAGATTCTGTGGAGAAAAAGATGGGGATGCATTTATCATTGAAAGGTAATTGTCCTTGGGCTTCTTCTATCAATATGTCCTCACATGTTGATATCTGATTCCCTAATGCAGTGCAGTGTCATTAATGGAGGGTAAGGCAGACAATTATTATTCGGCTGTGCTGTTTAATAATATTTAATATATATCTCAAGTGGCCCAGGTTGCCTTGGCAGACGGAGCCCCTGACAAAATGCTCCCTTGTATGTCCTGTGGTCGACAACACTGTGTGCCTGTGAGTTTGTGCTGAAGTATGATAAACACGTTGGGTGAACGTGACCCCTTTCAACCTCTCGGGAAACACTGGGCCATAGGAGAATGGCTTGATTCCTCGTTGCACTCGCAGGCTGAGTCTAGGCAGAAGTTCCCATTACTAGGGACGCGGTGTGAGGACTTTCCCACAATTCCCTGCTTTCCTCCAGCGCTGGGGCAGAAGTTCCCATTACTAGGGACTCGGTGTGAGGACTTTCCCGCAATTCCCTGCTTTCCTCCAGCTCTGGGGCAGAAGTTCCCATTACTAGGCACTCGGTGTGAGGGCCTTCCCCACAATTCCCTGCTTTCCTCCAGCACTGGAACTGCCCTGTCCTCTGACCAGCGGACGCTCAGGATCTAACATTCACTGTTATTTTTCCCATTTTATATAGTTTAAGGATCACTTCCTATTTAGTGAAGTTTATCTCAGTTTTACAAGATTCTCCCTTTCTCCCCTTAGGGCTACCAGGGCATGGTGGACGGAGGCGCGAACATCGCGGAGGCCGACTGGGAGAGCGTCTCCAGCATCCTGCAAGTGGTGCGTACTGGGCTGCTGTCCACAGGGTTCTCTGAGTTGGAGACTCTTTCATGTGTAGTAAAGTCCCAGAACACTTGAGCTCAGATCAGTTGATAGAGATTATGTGGACAGAACAGACTGTGAGAAGCTCTTTACTTTTGGTTTGATCTTTAGAAATGCATGTGTTAATCTGTGACTCACTTTGAGTATTTGCTAATAGAAATAATCCAAATCGGTGCCTCCCCGCTGAAGACACTCGTGGGGCCCACACCTTCCTGCTGGTCTCAGGCTCTCTCTGCATTGGGCGCCTCTTGATTTCTGCCATATCGGAAGGGAGGTGGAGGGAATTTTGACAACCACAGAAGTTAGGTGGAGCAACATTTGCAAAACATCAGGACGTTGTGGGCTGAATTCACACAGGGGAGCGTTTCCATTCTGTGGTCGTGATTGACGTAGGAAGACGTGAACAGAGGGCTGAAGTGTGTGTATCAGTGAGTTTGTGTTTCTGCATGTGGTATATGTGGTGTGTGAATCTCAGTGTGTATGTAACTGAGTTTGGTGTGTGTTTGTATGTAGGTGTGTGAGTCTGAGTATGTGTGGTTTGCCCGTGTGTATGTGTTAACTGTGTGAGTTTGTGGCTAGCGAGTGTGTATCTGTGTGTGGGATGTGTGTATATGTGGTTTCCTTGTATGTGGAGGTGTGTGTGGTGTCTGTGTGTGTGTGTGGTGTGTCTGTGTGTGGCGTGCCTGTGGGGGGGGTGTGTGTGTATGTGTAGGTGTGTGTGGTGTGTGTGTGTGTGAGCGAGCGAGCGAGGGAATGGGAATGGCACCCACTCCTCTGCAGTCCAGTTATCCTGGTTTTGTTCCCAAGTTGCAGCCACCTCTTTTGTCTTTTTGGTGGGAGTTTCTGGGTTGCTGACTCTACCTCCCATCGTGCGGGCTCTCATGCTGCCCCCTGGCTTTTTGTCCGGGCAGAGTCTGGAGAGCACCCCTGCCCTGCTCTGCGCCCCTACCCTCACCTGCCTTGGGGACCGGGTTGTAAGTGGTCTCGGTCACACTTGGTGCTGGTGACACAGGATCGTGTGGAATGAATTTCAGTTTTTATGACCTTTTCATAATGCTTTGACAAATTAAATGATGGTAGGTTTCATGTAAAAATATAAACTTTTCTGGGATTTGGAATACTAATAAGTCTCCATATGTGAAAAGGAGTTGTGTGCGTGCACCATTGGTGTATTGAAACACACACTCATGGGCCAGGCACGGTGGCTCACGCCTGTAATCCCAGCACTTTGGGAGGCCGAGGTGGGCGGATCACGAGGTCAGGAGATGGAGACCATCCTGGCTAACATGGTGAAACCCTGTCTCTACTAAAAATACAAAAAAACAAACAAACAAAAAAAAAAACAGGCGTGGTGGCGGGTGCCTGTAATCCCAGCTACCAGGGAAGCCGAGGCAGGAGAATGGCGTGAACCCAGGAGCGGAGCTTGCAGTGAGCCAAGATTGCGCCACTGCACTCCAGCCTGGGCGACAGAGTGAGACTCTGTCTCAAGAAAAAAAAAAAAAAGGAAGAAGCAGGCAGTCACATCAATGCAGGGGTTTCCTGGGAGCTGCCTGCAGACCGAAGTCAGGGAGAGCCCTTGCCTCCAGCGCGGAGACAACCCCTGCTGCGCTTATGAGCACCTTGCTTGACGAAGTCAGCGTGCGTCTAGGGATCCAGTCTGGACTGGAGTTTGTTGGTGCATTCATGATTTTATTTAAATGAATCCTGCATTTGTCGATCCCATCAATTCTTAGTTTTTGGAAAACCAAGTGTGATGAATCATGGTCTATGTACCCTGGAAGTCTGGATGAAATAATTTCAGTTCCTGAACACATAGCTCTTTAAAAGCGGCAGCGGGTATGTGGTGCAAAAAAAAAATCCCCTTGGCCCCAGGTTCCTGCTGGTTTTACCTGTAGGTGCTGTAAGGGGAGACTGGAGGGAGAGCCTGGCCTCTGGTCACGCCACTTCCCTTGTCCTGGCCGGCGTGCTTGGTGGTCAGTGGGTTCGTCTTTGGTTCCACATGCATCTGGTTGAGCTCACTGGCCGGTGCTGGGGCGGCTGCTGTGACCCCACAGGCTGGTTCCTGCTCCATGTATTTAACTGATGGCTGCTGTATGTCTGGCTCCTCCCCTCCCTGGCTCCTCCCCTCCCTGGCTCCTCCTGGTGTGATGCGCCTGTCTTTGTGGAATGCTGGTCTGGGACTAAAAACAGGAAAATCATAGTCTTTCATAGCTAGTTACTGACAAGGTGAAAATGAGAAAAACGTGAATTCCAGCCCCTGTTTATAGTCAGTCTGTGTGCGCCATCCACCTGGCTTTCTGTCATGTTGTGAGGAGATGAGTAAGCTGGTGTCGTCTTTCCCAGGGCGGGACGATCATTGGCAGTGCGCGGTGCCAGGCCTTCCGCACGCGGGAAGGCCGCCTGAAGGCCGCCTGCAACCTGCTGCAGCGCGGCATCACCAACCTGTGTGTGATCGGCGGGGACGGGAGCCTCACCGGGGCCAACCTCTTCCGGAAGGAGTGGAGCGGGCTGCTGGAGGAGCTGGCCAGGAATGGTGAGTGGACGCCTGCTCCTGTGTCCTGCGGGTTTTTGTCCTGTTTCAGAGCTTTGGAACGGACACATTTCCCTCTTCACTGCAGCGGAAGCACCTGTTCTCACAGATCTTCCAGTCACCATCTCAGGACTTTTTATGATCTCAAAACACAACAGCAGCCATCATAAGAATGCTAGTAATTTAACCTTACCATGTGCCAGGCACCCTTTGACCTTTGACAAGGATAGTTTTATGGAATCCTCACGACAGCCATCCAAGCCAGTTTTTAGATCATCCCATTTACAGATGAGGAATCAAATAGCCACTCGGCTGTGGGGTGGGCCAGGTCCCCAGCAGCCTGGGACACCAGCGTCCGCCTTTCAGCCCTCACACTGTATCTCTCCAGCTCGCTGGGGTCCCTTAGAACTGAAGTTCTCACAAGACTTTATTTATTTAGATACATTTCTGCCAATACATCATCTGGTACCACCTTTGACACTACTTAGGAAAGCGTTTCTGAGAGTCCTGTGTGTATGTAGGTTTTTTGGTTTGCTTGTATTGAGACGGAGTCTGTCTCCCTTGCCCAGGCTGGAGTGCAGTGATGCGATTTTGGCTCACTGCAGCCTCTGCCTTCTGGGTTCAAGCGATTCTCCTGCCTCTTTCTCTTCCTCCTGAGTAGCCAGGATCACAGACATGCACCACCACACCCGGCTAACTTTTTTTTGTATTTTTGGTAGAGACGGGGTTCCATCGTGTTGGCCAGGCTGGTCTCGAACTCCTGACCACAGGTCATCCACCCACCTCGGCCTCCCAAAGTGGAGTTTTTCTCCCTTGAAGCAGTTGTTATGTAATTTCAATGCAATATTAAATATGACCAGGGAAGCATATTGTTTAATAGCAACTTGATGAGAGGCGGCTTTGAGGCAAAGCAGCTGTCTCCAGGCTTGTGAACATCCTTGTAGGGGACGGAGAACGCTGCCTGCTGGAAGCAGCCAGGCCTCACAGTTCTTGCTTGTCCACGTCGTCCTGGTCTGGCACAGCCCACTGAGTGTACAGAGCAGGACAGCGGCCACGAGTCCGGGCCTAAGCTTGCCCCTGGCCCTTCGATGGTTCCGACTCCCTTTATGCAGAGCTGCACAGCCCAGGTCTGTCCTGAGTGCGCGGTAGATGTCCACCCACGATCCAGCTTCCCACAGATGCATGAGAAATCAGTGTGAAGATGGCCTAGTGTCTTAGATTCTCAATTCCGTAATTGTAACATATCCGTGTTCAAAGCCGTGTCATTCTCGGAAGCTGTTGCCAGGAAATACTGAGATTTTTGTTTACCAATTGCAAATGTGGATCCTTTCTTTTATTTTTCAAATCCACTGCTCTTGTCTAAGTGCCAGGTGACAGTGCCCATTGTGTGTAACTGCTGCCAGCTTTGTCTGGCTTCTCTTTCCTTAACTATGCAGAATCCGGTTGCATTGAGTTCTGAGGAAATAAAGAATTGACCTGGGCAGTGGCTCACACCTATAATCCCAGCCCTTTGGGAGGCCAAGGCAGGACGGTCTCTTGAGCCCAGGAATTTAAGACCAGCCTGGGCAACATAGAGTCTGGCTCTACCAAAAAATTAAGAAATCAGCCAGGCATAGTTCTAACTTCTCAGGAGACTGAGGCAGGAGGATCGCCTGAGCCCAGGAGTTCAAGGCTGCAGCGAGCTATGATGGTACCACTGCACTCCAGCCTGGTCAACAGAGTGAGACCCTGTCTCAAAAAAATGATAATACATAAATGATACCAGTAACAAATCAAAGAGTTTAGAGTGTTTGTTTAGGGTGGTTGTGTTGCTGTTTGCTCCCCACGCAGGCCAGATCGATAAGGAGGCCGTGCAGAAGTACGCCTACCTCAACGTGGTGGGCATGGTGGGCTCCATTGACAATGATTTCTGTGGCACCGACATGACCATCGGCACTGACTCCGCCCTGCATAGGATCATCGAGGTCATTGACGCCATCATGACCACGGCCCAGAGGTAAAGCACTCAGAGGAACCGGCGGGAGGCCACATGGGGCCCGATGTGTGCCCAGCTCAGATGTTACCACGGGCTCTAGAACATTCTGCAGATTGGGTGTCCTGGTGCTGGCTCGTAACTTGACTTTTAGGAACTATTGCCAGAAAATTGTTCTCTGGTCTGCTTTCCATTTTTAATTTTAAAACATTCCTTGTTTTTAACCCGATGATAAAAGAAAGCTGTTGATTAGAATTTGAAAGGAAGAAACAAAATAATAATTATCTGAATGTCCTATCCAAACATCTCCGGAAGGAGTGGCAAGAAGTAAACTGTGGTATGGATTTTTCACACCACTCATGAGAGATGCGGCCAGCGATGTCCTGCCCTGTGTAATCTATGGATTCACAAAGTGTGGTGGGGCCACAGCATTTGATCCGAGGTGCTCTAGACTCGGCGGATTATCACTGATGACTCTGTGGGGCACCCTACAATTTCTGAAGCAATTTGCATGAAAACCATGTGAAATGGTAAATAGAATAAGTGTCTCCCCTTTAAGGACGAGGTGCTTGAGACTGAGAGAGTGCTGAATCTAGTCCCCGGTGTGGCGCCTCCCAGTCCTCTGTGTGTCCTGTTCCCAGTGACGCCTTCACTGGACATTCTCAGTGCGTGGGCGTGAACCCCACAGTTGGTGGAAAATCACTAAGTTGGAAGGCTGCTCAGAGCAGTTGGATTTTTCCATTCCCTGGGAAGACCCAGTCTCTGGGCGTTAACCACTTAGTGACACTGGCACGCACTTGTTTCCCTGGGAGAGATCCAGCCGTGGCTCTTGACAGCAGCCACCGACTGTGCCCAATAGAGAAGGTATCTGGGAAAGAGCCCAGCACAGGGCCTGAGAGTGTGAGTGTGTCCTGGGCACAGGCAGGCAAGGTGTCAAATGTGCAACTGGAGAGCGCAGAGGTGGCTCAAGTCACTTTCCTCACAGGAGTCTGGAAGGCTCCTGCATAGCGTTTGCCTTAGTAGAAAATGAACCATTTTTGAAGCCTAAGTCCTTGCAGGCCTCCTGGCTAACTCGGCTGTCAGAGCCCCTTCTCTCTGCTGTCTGAGCTGTGTCCAGGGCTGAGTGGGTGCTCCCTGTGTTTCTCTGCTTTCTGAGCTGTGTCCGGGGCTCCCTCTGTTTTTCTTCCAGCCACCAGAGGACCTTCGTTCTGGAGGTGATGGGACGACACTGTGGGTATGTACCTGCGGTGGGTCCAGTGAACGCGGTTCGGGTTGGGGACCCTTAGCGTCATCTCCCTGAGGCTATACCCCACATCCAGAATGCTCTCGCGGAGAGTCCTGGAGGGGCCGGTGTCCCGCTTCATACCTGGCATTAGATCTGCCCATCTGTCACTGAGTGGGGTGCCTGGGGTACCCTCATGGGAAGGATCCGTCTGGGGTGTTGATGCTGTTGCCTTGTCCACATAGGTACCTGGCCCTGGTGAGTGCCTTGGCCTGCGGTGCGGACTGGGTGTTCCTTCCGGAGTCTCCGCCAGAGGAAGGCTGGGAGGAGCAGATGTGTGTCAAACTCTCGGAGGTAATGTGGGTCCTGTGGCCGTCGACAGCGGGCGATGCTGGCTGCATTGCTTTAATCAGGATCCCAAGTGGGACGGCATTTTAAGCAAGTGAAAATATTTCTCTGTCTCCAGTTTGTCACACTTTGTATTTCACTCTATCGACTGTGAGTGTGGGGCATGTTTTCCTCTATGAAGGCTGAGACTCAAGGCAGAAGAGGTCTCATTTAAGACCTGAGTCTGAGACAGAGTGAGCCTGGTTAGAATGCCCTATGTGTGCCTGACTCTGGCAGGTGGACTTCAGGCACTGTTGGCTCCAGGCTCCACACAGCCACCACTACCATTTTCTACGGGTGGGTCTTTAATGCGGGGCTTTATAGAAAGTGAATCCATTGAGGATGAGTTAATCCACATCGTGGAGTGGTCGCTGTATTCCTTTCATGACCTCTTTAGGCTCACGTGACTGCTGTGAGCATAGGAAGGACAATGGGGACAGCAGCTACGGCGGTCCAGCAGTGCAAGGCCTTTCGGGTGCAACTGTGGCCACCAGAACCCACTGTGTGGGCCCTGTGTTCGCTCACACTGTGTTTTCTGTCCCGCCTCTCTGCTGCTGGAGCCTGTGCGCAATACAACTTCATCCCAGTGGCCGGGCTTCGGGGCCTCCCCTGGGAGGGGCCGGGGAGGAGTGGTTTACAGGGAGGTGGCAGGAAACTCTGGAGGGAGGCAGAAAGCATGAGTGCACGAGGCGCCTGTGGGGAGTCCATCTCTGTGTCCTTCCCCTTGGGAACACCTGTCAGTCACACCAGTGCCCTCCACCGAGGGCTGGCTGGGGGCCACATTTCTGTCTGTGGTGGTGATGTGAGCTTCCAGTCCCAAAGAGCTCTCTTCCAGTGAGCCACAGCTGCCCTGCCCCTTCACCCCTGCCCCTCGCCCCTGCCCCTCTCCTCGCCTCTGCCCCTCACCCATCCCTGCCCCTCACCTCACCCCTGCCCCTCCTCACACCCCTGCCCCTCCTCACACCTCTGTCCCTCCTCTCACCCCATCCCTCCCTGCTATCATCCAGAGCACCTTTCACCACCTTCTGATGTCATTGGGGAGCAGCTCTTAGGAAGCTGGGCAAAGATTCCTACCCAGAAAGAGGCTAGTTCAGTCCGAGACAGATTTCTGTGGTTTTGTTGTAGTTGTTGCTAAGAATGGGATTAGGAATTTGAGAGCTTTAATTTTCTGTGTCTGCAGAACCGTGCCCGGAAAAAAAGACTGAATATTATTATTGTGGCTGAAGGAGCAATTGATACCCAAAATAAACCCATTACCTCTGAGAAAATCAAAGAGGTGAGTGCGTGCAGCTGTTCCCTTTTGCTTGGTTTCTGCCTGGAAGCAGGGGAGGTTAGCATCATGGGCAGGCTTGGTTTAGAACACTGAATGATTAACTTTTTATCCTTGATATTTAAAACATTTTCATCACGACTCAGAAGTTGGACGGCCTGGGAAACACGCAGAGGCATGGGGGCCTGTTCCGCTTGCGTCCCCTCTTGCCGAGCCCCTAGAAGTTCCGGGACTCCCCCGCAGACATAGAGGTCAGCTCGAGTGGTCACACGTGTTCTTTGGATTAGAGCGTTCTGGCTCTTAAACGTGAGCTGCTCTGAGAATGAGGACTGAACACTTGGCAGCTGACCTGGGCTTCTGTTTGCCACAGGGGGAAAAGGCGGCGCCTTGCTATTCCCTGTGCCCTCCCATAACCCAGAGCATCAGCTGAGCACATTCTTACTCACAAAGAAAGCTGCTGTGTCCTCGTGGCCCTGCCAGGGGACGAGCTCTGGCAGGCTTCATGCCCTGGGGCTTGCTCAGTGCCTGCCCATCTGGAGAGGACTCCGATGCCATGGGCCGGGCTCCTGCTGTAGACGGGGCTGGGCACGGGCTCTGGCTCTAGCAGCCGCAGGGCAGAAGGCATCGCCACCTGCCTTTGTAAGTCGTGTTCTTTATTGTGCTTTGTTATGGTCAGTGAAGGAGCAAAACATGTCTCTGGATATGAAAACGGTGACAGACACCGGGGAAAGACAGCTGCCAATATTTATAAGTGGTAGTCCATAAAGTCGAGGCAAATATTTTATTTCCCACTTAATTATAATTAAATCACAGGACAATGGACCAAGAAGGAACCATGAAATTCACGTAGCCCAGCCCCACTGTTCTTACAGAGGAGTAAGCTGAGTTCCAGAGACAGTCAGTGGCCTCTCCAGGTCACCGGGCCAGCGTGCCTGTGGGGTGGGGCGAGGGGAGTGCCTTGATTCGACTGGGTTGTGCTGTCAAATCACAGCTAAACAAATTTAAGCTGGTTAAAGGAAGATGTTTACATTTTTGTAAAATATAAGTAATAGTTTAAATGCAACCTACTGAAACCTTTTTTTTTTTTTTTTTTTTTTGTTAAAGCACCAAACATGTGACTTGCATTCATTTTCTAGGTGCGAGCCAAGATTTTGTTGGGTAACAAAGGTATTATTTTTAAAACCGAGTTTCAGCTGCCTGTTATATATACTAAATGTTCTGCTAGGAAACAAAATTTAGAAATAACTCTTCCCATTTAGATCTGAAGAAAGAGTGAAAAACCTTTTTCAGTGCCCCGTCCCTCCTTCCAGATCTGGGCTGCTGGGTCCGCATCACGGTTCCGCATCCTAACGAGACGTTCCCTTGCAGCTCGTCGTCACGCAGCTGGGCTACGACACACGTGTGACCATCCTCGGGCACGTGCAGAGAGGAGGGACCCCTTCGGCATTCGACAGGATCTTGGTGAGGATGGGAGCGTTGGGCATCTTCACAAGGTCTCTAGCAGGGAGCGTTTCTGGAGAGGCGCAGGCACCAGCCGGCCACAGAGGCTGGCAGGATGCTCCCCCACAGATGCCGGCGGCCCGGCCCTCGTCTTAACGATCCTTGAGACCTTTGGTGCAGACCAGTGGCTAGGCCTACAGCCATTCAGAGGCGGGGAGAGCTCCCTAGTGTGGGAGGGCAGTGCCTGCTGTTGGGATGACGTGGACCCCAGAGGACACAATCCCAGGGCAGAAAGGCTGTGTTCCTTGTGTGGGTTTCTGGAAACTGTGACTCGGGGCAGCAGGAATCCCAAGTACAAACTCAGCTCTTAACACTCCTGCTCTCCGTCTGGCCCTGACCTCCCCTCTGTTGCCATCTTGCTGGTTCTAAAGGAGTGGAAATCGCTTTGCTCTGAAGAGTTAGGCTGCAAGTGGGGAGAGCTGTGAGCACCTGACTGAGATCATTGGGGGTCATGGAAAGACAGCAGGAGGTGACAGGGACGGTGCAGGGTGGGGGGCTGCCCCTGACCCACATGGACCTGGTTTCCAGGCCAGCCGCATGGGGGTGGAGGCAGTCATTGCCTTGCTAGAGGCCACCCCGGACACCCCAGCTTGCGTCGTGTCGCTGAACGGGAACCACGCCGTGCGCCTGCCACTGATGGAGTGCGTGCAGATGGTGAGTGGGCAGCCCATGGCCACAGGCGGGGTGGGGGCGGCTGGGGACAGACGCTGCTTGTCGGGCCGGCCTGGGCACCTCGGGTGTCTCGTCGGTGCACGCTGCATTACACGGCCTTTCTGAGAAGGGGGTGAGCTGCCCATGGGGAGGGAGCAGGCTTGTGTTCTCACCCACACCTGCAGAACCTGCGCCGTCTTCACTCTTTGGTTTTCTAAGTTACCGTCTGTCCTTGTGGCACGTAGTTGTAACCTCCCCTGAGATGGGTCTAGAGTGTTGGGATCCCAACAGTCGAAGAGGTTCCAGG